TGATAGTTCATGTTTTGTAATAATACTATTTTAGTATTATGAGAATGATGATGTGAATTATATGTGTTTGGAATATGAGGGTTGTTACAATGATTTAGTGTCAGATAGAAAATGATTGTTTGGATATTATACTGAATCAACAGTCTGAATGACATAAAATTACCATTATACCCCTGCTTTGAATGAAAATTGACATTTGATAGAAGTTCTGATTGAAATTTCTAAATGAAAAATAGAAAATAATTAATAGTCCAAAGCCAATACATGATACCATATCAATCCAAACAAACATAACAATGTATGTTCAAGTTTTCGCATGACAAAACATCACATGAAATGCAGGTTCAAACACAATATTTTGCGTAGAAAATCTAATTTTAAACATTTAACACCAAATGATTTGCAAACTCATCATGCAAATTAGCCATGTAATTATTGTCTTGGGGACCCCAAGGTGGTGCATCCATCTCATCTTCCTCGTCTCCTTTAATTTGTTCTTGTCTTCAGTAATGAATATGGGGCTATTGTTGTAATCCATGAATAAGTGATCTTGCATTTTTCATCTTCTTATAAAATTATGGATCACGAAACAAACGATTACAATGTTTCTTTGTATTTGAAAAGGATAAGGGGTCATTTGCTTCAAAATTGGGAATTTTGTTTTCAATACACCAAAAACACGTTTGATAACATTTCTAAGTTGTGTGTGTGGGCATGATTGAATGTTTCTTCTTTGGTCAGAGCATGTCGACATCGAAAATCAACTAGCCAGTATCTTGTATTGCAATATAGAATCAGAAATCCACGAGTGTTATACCCTTCTATCCTGCCCAAACATAAGTGAATATCATATTAAAATCACAAATCGCTAAACGTGTTGATAAAATTCACCTCTTTCTCTGCCTTTAAAACGAGCTTGTTGATCAACAAACACAATTGCATATATGAGAGTCTAATCTAAAGCACCTATTGCTCTCTTTATTTAAAAAATATAAACTATAAGAAACTTATTAACTACCTTTTGATTTTGCAAATTATATAAATGAAAACATACATGAAATATTTTTCTAAGATTTCTTTGTCATTCTGACATTTAGGAGGTTTCTTCATTGCACATTGGTCGTGCAACTTCTCTAGCAGTAATTGACGAAAATATTTATTGGTAGTCTACGTTGAGTGTTGAAATCTTCGTTTAATCATTCTATAGTGTTTATTGTAACCTATTATTATTAAAAAGAATTGTCATCTTCTTCTCAACACTTGCATTCCTACTATTTTGCAACCAACTTTTTTGTTTAAAATGGTTGCATAGTAGTATATAGGCATCACGGGAAAGACTCATCAATTCAAAACATTGAGTATTTGAGCCATTTAATATTTCTAGAGTATACGCATGTCCAGTCAATGATAAAGTGTTATCTCTTATCCTTTCGATTGATGTAGCTTTTCATTTCAAATACAACAAAAAAAGTAACAAAAGCAACAATTCTTCCTCAACATCCATAGAACACCTTGGAAATAAATAAATTACAAAACACGAAGGTTAACATAATATCAAAAAAAAAAAAAAAAATCGAAAGTTGTATCGTTTAAAAGTTCAATAGTTACATCATCCAAAAACATGTTCAATAGTTACATCATCCAAAAGTTATGTGTTCAAAAACAAAACATCGTTCAAAAGCTAGTTGAATCTTCACTCGGATTAGCGCCTTGGGGAGGTAGATATCATATCAAAACACAATGTTCAAAAGCATTACATGATCCAACTACATGATCCTGTACTTTTGTCCTATCATTCTAACCCAACCGGCCAAACCTTCCGGGTTCAATCACAACCACACTTTCCTACAGTTGACACTTTCATTGAAGATAAAAATGGTACATGGTACAACTACAGCTGGTGATCTATTCCCCATCCAAGTTCATTCAACTTTTCCAAGCAACCAGGACCATCGTTCGAATATTTTTCCATAATTGCTTTCAGAAACTTAGAAGTATCTTCTTCAACTTGTTAGTTACTTGCTTGTTCACCTTTTCGCTTTTGGTTTGTGTACTTGGATGAGAATTACACTCTTATCTTGAAGTTGGGGTCAGGGTTTGTTGACTATTAAGAACTACCTCAACATCTTCAGTCGAGTGATTAGAAAGTGGGTCGAAAATGTTGGAAATACTAGAACATGGTCATTCAAACCCCCATTATTTAAACCCCATCAAATAGTTGAACACAAACATAGGAAAAAAAACACAGTCTTTTACTCATGATTGGTTCAATATATTTGCTTCTTTGTTTAAAAAATATTATATAAATAAAAAAAGATTCCAAATGAAAAATGATATAAAATGAAAAAATTATAAAGATATCTCAATTTCTATTTGTCATTCTTCATCAATTACATTAAACGTATTGGATGTTGAGGCATTCACGTTGCCCATTTTGATTTTCAGTCTCAATCCATGCATTGTATTTCGCTTTTAAATAATCATAATGGTTTTCCATTTGTTTTTTGATGAGCGACGAATTTGTTTGTTTTTAAGCATCTGTACAACATTCTTCTATGAACGCGGCTTAAAACTAGTACCTTCTCATCCATGTATAACAACCTCATATATACACGCTTCAAGAAAAGTTAGCACCACACTCTTTTTTTCTGAATTTATTCTACGTTTTTTTTATTGTGAACCCTTACCAACAATGTCCATACCTTAAACTTTTATCCAGAATATAGCAAATCAATTGAAATCCTAACAAATAAAAAATAAAGGTTGAATTCAAGTACTTATTGAAAAGAATGTGATCATCACAGTAGAATCACCAAGGAGGCACTTTGCATAAACCCCATAAATTAGTTGGGGGCAAAGGTATGATTTTTTTTAGCTAGGGGTCGTTTATCAAACGCTTACTAGGATAAGCGCTTACCAAGTAACATTATTTCACCGGATGAATATGGTAAGTACCAAGAATCTTACCCGGTAAGAGCGAGACAAGGACCAAAAGTCTTACCTGGTAAGTGAGGGCGACGACTCTTACCACGGTAAGCGCTTATCGGGTAAATTGTTGCATACAATGTCGTTTTGGTGGACTAAAATCTTACCCGGTAAGTAAATATATAATAGTGTTAAATTTTACCGATAAACACTTTTCGGGTAAGTGTTTGGTAAACGGCGCCTAAGTGATGACAATATTTCATTATAAGAGATAAATATAAAGACATTTTTACATATTAATCATTGGATTGTTTTTCATATATGAGTTCATATGTTCAAGTATTTTATTTCACTTTTTTTAGAAACATAATAAATCTGAAACTAAAAGTTAAAAACTAAAGAAATGACACTAAAAATTCGAACTTAGGTCTGTGGTAGAGAAAAAAATTTGCAAACCAACTCTACCAAGGAAAACTTGTGTTTTCATTGTAATTTTTAAAATATATAGAGTGTGAAAGAGTGAGCTTACCACACCAAAAGAGAGAAACCTGGCCCTTTAACACAACAAATTGATGCGACGATATTTTTTACGACCCTGTAATTTTTTACACTACGACGGAGGAATGAAATGACGGGTTGTGCCACTAAAACCAAATATATTTGGGTGCAACCCATCAACTTCACATGGTCTGCTTCAATGTGGAGTTCATCAGCTTAGCTTTGGTTTCTACATGGTTGGTCACCATTGCAACCCGTGCCTCTGTTCAACAATACAAGATTTTCCTTGTACTTTACAATGTCAACTATGATGGAAAGACCTTTGACACTCGCAAGTCTTGATCGGACCCCTTTCACAGGATCATAAACTATATAGCCCTCAGACTGAGTGGTCAACACTAAATCACCATCGGTCGTCGGTTGCAAAACCCGGCTTATTCTTCCTTCGTATGGACCTGTATTCAATTTCAAATCACGAGACCAAGATGCGACATTATTGTACTCTCTCCGCAACCAAATCCAACTATCGCTACCTTCATTTGTAACCACAGCTAGATAACCTTTGATGATTGTTAGCTGTGTGACTTCCCAACTTGGCTCAGGCAAGGGAATCGTGCCGAAAACCTCAGTTGACAAATCGAATGACATTATGCTACCTGGTTCCGCTACCAACCAGTACAATGCTCCATTGACAAAACACGCAAGTGAGACATTGTTAAGCGGAGTGGTAGGGAAAGCAATGACACGCCAAACGCCTGTGTTTATGGTGTAAATCGATGATTCTGGGGCATCTCTACCATATGTTGTGTAGGATATCTTCACAATCTTGTAATCAAAAGTGGCCAAGTCGAAAGCAAACCCGATTGCTACTTGAGGGCCATTAGAAGAAAAGTCCCTCAAAGAATGATGATGAGGCAGGGTTAGTTTGCGCCGAATTGAAGGATTCCATAAAGTAATTTTATGGATTTCATGATCATACAGACAGATAATTCCGTTACATGAACCAACAATATGGAAATTGTAGCCGGGAAAGTCGAGTGGTGTTATTCCTATGTATCCATCTCTGCTAGTCAATGGCAATCGGTCTTCAGAATGTAACGTATAGAAGTTTTGCACATGCTTATTGAAATAAGTCAAGTGTCTGATGAGGAGTTTTTGAGGGTTTTTAGCAGCGCGGAGAGCATGGTTGCTGATAAAATTGGGGCAAACAATATGAGAAAACCATGATTTCGAAAGAGATGTAAATCGGAGAAGGGATTTGGGTGGTAGTCTTTCAAAGATTTCAACAATCAAATCGTAATCTGACATTGCGTAAATCAAGATGGAACGCATCAAAACAATTGAAAACATAGAGTTTCGACACTAATTAGTATTTGATTCATACACGATGGATGCAAATAATTCATCTCTAAATCCCTAATTTGAAATGAAAACAGGCAAGAAAATATAGATTGAATTGAAGAGACATGATTCAACGATTAATAATATCACTCACCGGAAAATGGTTTAGAAATTATGATGAAAAAGGAGGAGAAGATGTTGATTTGAGATGGTTTCGTTTCCAATAACTACTAGATTCAATTAAACCATATATCATGCATGTATAGAAATCAAGTTTAGAAATTAATTACGAGTGAATTTTGGATTTGGTCCCTGTAGTTTTATGTGTTTGTTACTAAGGTTTCTATGGTATGTTTATTGTGGATTATTTGGTGTTTGTGGTATTTAATTTGTTTTGGTCACGAAGAAAATAAGGTGCCCCCAACAATTATACACCCCCAACCCTATACCCTACCGACCAACCTAAAACCACCTTTGGAAGCATTGCTATTTATTTAGTTCGGGGCTGTTTACCAAACACTTACCAGATAAGTGTTTATCGGTAAAATTTAAAACTATCATTTACTTACCGGGTAAGATTTTAGTCCACCAAAACGGTATTGGATGCAACAATTTACCCGGTAAGCTCTTATCGTGGTAAGAGTCGTCGCCCTTGCTTACCTGGTAAGACTCTTGTTCCTTGTTTCGGTCTTACCGGATAAGATTCTTGGTCATTACCATATTCATCTGGTAAGTTTAATGTGACTTGATGTTCACTTACCCGGATAAGTGTTTGATAAACGGCCCCATAGTGTTAGTTTATACTTTCTTTTATGTATGTTAGATTGTATATAAATATTATATGAAAAGGGACTTGTTCAATTGTTAATTCTAGTCATTAATAATCACTTAAACTTTGTATTAATGTGTAATGTGTTACTTCTAGTATAATTAATAAAATGAGAATATATTGTGTTATTCAATTTAACTGAAATAGTAAAAATAACCAAAGCCGAGCTAAATAAGTTATTCTTATTTGTTAACCGAGTCGTCTTGGTTCGATTGAGTTATTTGGTTTCGTAATATTTTCTTACAGCCTTGTATATACTTTCGGTAACCTAAGTTTCTAGATCCCCCACTGATCCCAACATATCCTAATTGATTAACTCTAATACCATATCTACCCCTTTTGATTTTCACACTTGAGAATTTGTTGTCCCTATGGTCTACTACTTTACAAATAGCCGGCTACTATTAAGCTAGTAGCTGCATTGACTATCTTTTTTTAAATTTAGCCACCAAGTTTTCTTTTCAAATATGTCTGGAATCCCGTAACTCTAACAACCGCAAGCCTGGTTTTGCTTGCAGTGTCAGACTTTTCAGACCAAATTCAGTAACTAGACCAAAAATACAAAACAACAAAAAGAAAAATCAAAGGGCAAATTGCGTTTTGTGTTTTTCAAAATGGTTGCGATACCACGTGTCAAAATCTGAAGCATTGCAAGAAGATATAGGGTCGCCGTAGGACTTGTCAAAATCATGTTCACTGCAAGCCTCTTATTCTTTTACGGTAACGTAAGCAAGGAATTGCAACCAGCCAACCACTACAGTCTCTTTCTCCTCTCTCACGATTACTTACAGTGACGACTTCGGCCACGAGAACAATTACCACCATTACCACCATCACCGACCATTACTTCCATGATTACCACCATCATCCTCCGTCATCATCCACCATTTCTCTCCTCTCTCTCTCTCTCTCTCTCTCTCTCTCTTTCTCTCTTTGATGCAAGTAGCGTTAGCGGCAACCACCGGTTCTACCGCTACCAATTCCAAGATCTATTTTGAAGGTAAACCGATTACAAGATCTATTTTCTCTTATATATATAGGGGCCTTCTTTTGAAGCCCCTTAAAATTATGAGAACTATATGATCCATTTTTCTAAACCACATAAAAGGTTTTAGAAATACTAGAAATCAAAAAAGGAATCTATGATAATTATCTTTTACCAAATCATGTGTAAGCCAATTCACAAATTCATAAAGTCAAATTCATAAGGTACAATCCATATTTCAAGAGGAGAACGAAATGCATTTTTTGTCCATGAAATATAGAAGCCTTTTGGCCGCATATTGCCTCAGAGAATTGGTCAACACATTCGGAGATAAGAAAGTAATCCATATTGTAGCATTGTCGGGTTAAGGCATGGGGTATGTACCTTTGTGCAAGAGGATAAGACAAAATAATTTTGGTGGGCAAGATATTGATCTGGCGGTTGGAAAGACTCGCTGATAAATTCTTCAAGTATAGATGATAACTTGGTCAAGATTCACATATGATATAGACAGTAATGGTATCACTAAACACCACTTCAGATCGCGAGTAAATTCTCTCTGTCTTCAACTACTTCTTTGACATCGCTGAAGTTTTCCTTGATATGAGTTTTTCTTTGAAATACTCAAAGCTCTAATACAATTACATACATTTTCAGCGATCATTGAACAGAGTCAGATAAAACTGATCGCTGAAACTAAAATTACAATAAGCATACACTAAGTAAAGGATGATCATCAAATTACTAAGAGAGTTTGGATCAACAACCTCCCCCTATTTGATGATGACAAAGCAACATAAGAGAATTGTTTAAGTACAAACAGAAAAGAAATGGAACTCATAAATACTTTCTCCAATTAATTTTTTTGATTGATGTTTTCAGCACTGAGATGGAATGAAGTACTTTAGTTAAAAGTTCATTAATTTGTAAAAAAGTATTACAAAAATACTAAATGGAAAATACAATAACTTAAAGCACATAGCTAAAAAGTCTAATGATTAATAACACAAAAGAAAAGAAAGAGTCTATCATCTAAGATCTTCGAAGTTGATGTAGTCAAGGATATTTGATCCTTGATCTTTTCGCTTCAGTAGTTCTCTTCGGATATTTTTGTCTACTAAATGACCAGGAAGGGTGAAGATATCATAGTAGGTGAGTACAAATACTAAATGATCTTCAGGTACAGGATGAAGTTTTGAGCCTCACGAAAATCGTAGATCCCTGTTCATATCTGTGAAAAAAATGTCATAGTCAGGTATGAAGATAACATTACCTGGAATCTGAACACCTTCGGTAGGAGCGTTAGATTGAGCATAAGAGGTCTGGAGAGTAATTGGAAAGAACTTCATCAAGTGAGAACTTGGTTTGATGCTCATTTTTATCAGAGGGGCCTTCTTTAGTATTCTTGCATTGACGAGTAGTCCTCATTGGTAGAGGAGGAACATTGACAACTTTGGATACTCTTTCAAAGAGTTTGATGTACTCGAACAAGTAAGATGGATAATTAGTGATCAAGTTTATGTCATCTTTGAAGATAAACATACTGACTACTAATCTTCCATACTTTCTTCTTCTAGCGATGGGTGAAATTAGTGATCTTATGCATGTTTAGACGTTCCACCTTCAGTCTACATCATATTAGCTCTTTTCCTTCAGTGCATCTCCCTTGGATTTGTCTTCCTTAGCTTCCCTGAGAAGAATGGCTCGGGCATCGATAGGATCTCTTCTTTTGAACTTCCCTTCAGTATGGGTATCGGTGGCTAGAGCTTCAGCTAATTCAAGACTTTCACTTAGCAGCTTTTGTTTTTTCTCCATCTATTCTTGTGCTTTGAGGGCTTCTTCTTTGTCAGCTTCAGAAAGGAAGTTGAACTCATCCCTAGAGGTACGAAGAGGAATTTTTAATCTGGTAGAGTTCAACTTTACAAGGCGACCTCCAATCCGAGCGGTCCTTGCAGATTCTTCGGCTTCAGAATCAAGGTCATGGAGATGATGTTGAAGGACCTTCTTGGAATTAGGTCAGTTTCTTCTTCTTGTTCTTCAGCATCAGACTCTTCAACTATGTACCATGGAAGGTTGTCATAAGCGGTTGAAGGTATGTTTGAGGCTTTGGAAGGGGAATCACAACGGGGTGAAGAAGAGGTAGAACTAGAAGATGATAAAGAGATTTTATAGATAGAAGTAGAGGGGATATCTGAATGTCCACGTGAGAACATCAAAATTCCTCACTTGCCATAACCAAAAGGGCCTAGGTTGAGACAATCAAAACCCCTCACTTGACCGAACATAATTGGGCTTCAAGATGAGAACATCAAAATTGTTCACTTGATTAAGAGCGGTTTTTTCAAGAAGAGACATCAAAACTTCTATCTTGATCAAAAAAATAAATTCTTATGCACATGAATTCAAAGCAATAAAATCATTATTTTCATGATTTATACATGGAAAACCAATAATCCTAATTGACATGTATTTCTCAGTAATTATGCAAACATATACATAGAATGTCCAAGTTACAATGAGCAATAGGAAGTTGGTAAAACCCCAAGTAATTATGCAACATATGCACGTAATGTTCAAATTTAATTATTCAACAATGAAAGATGGACTAATTTTCCAAAACCCATTGAAGAAGGTTCAATTAATAGACATGGGAATGACGGGGATGGGGCGGGGACCTCAATCCCCATCCCCGTCCCCGATTACTTATCTCTATCCCCGTCCTGATCCCCATCCCCGTCGGGAAATATAATCGCATCCCCATCCTCATCCCCAATGGGGAACGAGGACCCCCAACGGAGAAACCGTGATTTTTTTTTTCTGTTTATGTAAGTTATTTTAAATTAAATATGTGAGAAACCATACATGTTTAAATCTCAAACATTTTCAATAAACCTAAAACCAAAATGAATTTAGTTTAATACAAAAAAACCACAACATCGTAAAAGAACTAATAACCTAACACCAATTTTTTTTTAATTTAATAAAAAAAAACTTAAATTCACATGTATCAAAAGATATTGAGTAATATAAAACCATATCGAGTAATATCCAAAATTTATCGAGTAATTTTATTTTGACTTGACATCTAAAAAATAACAATTTTAGATTATAAACCTAGTTAGGAAATAGGAAATTATGAATTAAAGCTTTAAT